GCCAGCTACGTAACCTAGAACATAGGGCTGATGCAGTCATCGTGCTAACTGGAAGGATCGCACAAGCGTGGAACGAAGGGGCGTTTGAGGCCACGGCGAGCCTTGGCCACGAACAGGTTCCCCGACTTAGACCAAAGTAACGTCTCGAAAACCATAGTTTAGCGGTAGGTCGGGCCTGTCCCCCTACAGGGGACTCTTGGGCGAAAAATTGAAAATACCACCCCAAGAAATACCCCCCAAAATGATCAACACATATTCAGAAACAAAAACCGTCCCCAGACTGTTTTTCGACTGTTTGTTGAAGATCCCCCCTGCAGAGGGACAGGCCCGACTTGGTGGTGCCCCTTGGCTGGAGGCATCACCACCTGAAACAAGTAAGAACCCTGAACAGATAGTCATCACAATTTTTCTGCCTGACGTTTAGCGCTGGTGAGCGCTGGCTCGACGCGCCGGCCCGACGCGCCGGCTCGACGCGCGACCGCGAGGCCTGGGCGTGCCGCCGCAGCTCGGCCGCAGCTCGGGAGGTCGCCGGCCCTCGCGCCCAGGGAGCTCCCGGGGGGCGGGCAGCACTGGAGGGGCCCGGGGGCCCGGGGGCACGCAGATCGACTTCGTCCCGATGTTCGACTTTTACGGCTTGTTTCTCGACCTCCTCCTCCTCTCCATGTTCACGTTCCCCCAGGTTCTAACTTTCGTTCAGTTGTTCCTGATGTACAACTCGCCCCTAGATCGAATACACTTTTTTGATCTGCGGGGCGAGAGCGAAAGCTAAGGCGGGCTACGCACAGCTTTGATTAGGGAGACAGGGGGCACGCAGATAGAATACACACACACATACATCCCAAGATCCCCCACACTTGTCGCACATCTGCTGGATGCCCGTCTTCTCCCCCGTTTCCCGCCTCTTCCTGGGGGTCGACGAGTCCTTGCGTCCGTGTGCTTTTGTTCCCCCTCCTGCAAGATTCGTATCCATATGAACGCGTTTCTTTATTTTCAACGAGGATGGGCATTCTAGCGGTAGGGGGGTGGGGGGGCCTGGGGGGGGTATAAGGTAGCGCCTCAACCCCGCCGTGCGCACGGCGGCAGTGCCCGGAGCGCACTGGGGGGGGGAGGGGCGCTACGTTAGTTAGGGGGGCGGGGGGGAGAGAGGGAGGGGAGGCCGGGGGCTGCAATGCCCACCGTGCCCCGAGCAGCAAAGAAACACGCTCCATCCACTGCACCTTTGAAGGGGGGACTGGCATAGGGGGGGATGCATCGACCAGGAATCGGCGATACATCGCCGATAGATCGGCGATGGGCCTCCGATCGTGAATCCGCACCTTCCTGGGCGGGTTGGGGCTATCGGGCCCCTGTCGGCGATCAGGGGGTGATTGGGGGGGCTCCCTTCTCGGCTACACGCAAGAGTGACCCTGGGTAAGAGTGGCCTTTGGTGCGCGGCTCTGGGGGGGCCGCGGGGGGGCCAACCCAGGCGCGCGAGACGCTGCCATCGCATCGCAGTCGGGGATCGGGGGGCCCCATTGTGCCCGCACCAAAGGTCACTCCGGCGAAAGGTCACTCTTACGTGGAGTCGACCCTCCCAGGCGGCCCGAGACGCCGTGGACATGGCGAAGCACCCGACCCCGGGGGTTGGACCTCTTTGCCCACGTGCGCTGCGCCTCGGCCTCTCGCCGCCCCCTCCCGGAAAGCCCGAGGCGCCACGGACACGGATGGAAATCTCGCCCGCAGCGACGACGAGGAGCTATCAGGATTAGGTCGGGCGTGTCCGCCTACAGGCGGATTTTGGACGAAAAATAAAAAATAGCCAAAACATGCAAAGCAAATCTTCCCCTGACTATTCTTTGACTGTAAATACTCCTCCTGTAGAGGGACGCGCCCGACTTCGAGCTATCAGCACACCCGCAGGACTGCGCTCGTCGACGGCCGCGCTGCCCGCCGCAGGAGTTCGCCCCCTCCCGCGCCACGCCGACCGCCCCGCAGAGCTCCCCTGCGAGCTGCCCGGAGCTCGGCACCCAGAGGGAGCCCCGGACCGCGCCATCTGCCGACTGGCCACCCACCAACACGGCATCCGAGAGGATGGGGTCGGAGGACGGCGCTGCATCGCCGCTGCAGCGGCGAGGCACCGGCGACGTCGGGCTGGAAAAACTCGGGCGACCCCTCCAGAGTGAGGCTCGGCCTCGTCAGCGAGGGCCCGAAGCAGCGACTCATCTTCCTCCTCCGCCTGCTGCCCCCCCTTCGCATCCTCCCCTGCCCCACCCGTAGTTTCCAAGTACTTCTCCTCCTCCTCCTCCGCCTCCATGTCCTCCTCAGTATGATGTTCATCATCACCATCATCATCACCACCACCATCATCATCATCATCATCATCATCATCATCATCATCATCATCATCATCATCATCATCATCAGCACCATCACCATCATCATCATCATCAGCACCATCATCATCGTCGTCGTGGTAGTCGTCATCGTCGTCATCATCATCATCATCAGCAGCAGCAGCATCAGCATTATCATCATCATCAGCAGCATCATCATCATCACCATCATCAACCACATCACCAGCATCATCAACAGCAACAACATACTATTGCATCATAAGCAGCAGCATCATCACCACGACCGGCACCATCACAATCACCATCATTAGCATCAACCACATCATTACCCCAGGATCATCATTAAATTGATCATCATCAGCATCATCAACATCAAGATCATCATCATCACCATCATCAACATCATCATACCAATCATCATCATCATCATCATCATCATCATCATCATCATCATCATTATCAGCATCATCACCATTATCATCATCATCCTTCCGCCTCATTCCTTCCGTTATGAGCATCATCAGCATGATCGTCATTATCATCAACATCATCATCATAATCAGCAGTATGATCAGCATCATCATCAACATCAGAAATCGGCATGACCATCACCATCATCAACATCATCATCACCATCAATCATCATCAACATTATCATCACGTCCATCATCATCATCATCAATGTCATCTGGATCAGCATCCTCGTCAACATCGTCACCACCATCATTAACGGCAGCATGACCACCACCATCAGATCATGATCATGATGTTAATCATCATTACCAACATCATCAACATCACCATCATCACCAGCATCGTATCGTCACAACCACCATCACCATCACCATCACCATCACCATCACCATCACCATCACCATCATCATCATCATCAGCAGCAGCAGCATCATCATCACTATCAGTATCAACACCATCATCATAATGTGTCTGTCCCTCTCACCTCCTCCTCCTCCTCCTCCTCCTCCTCATTCACCCTCCAAGTCCCTCCCCATCCCCATCCTACTGCATCCCACGCCCTCCTCCTCATCCGCCGCCTCCTCCTCCTCCCTTCCGCCCCCTTATCCTCCACCTCTTGCTGTCCTGCTTGCGGTCCTGTTCTCGTTCCTGGCCAACCCCTCCCGCCACCACCACACCGGCTCGCCCGCGCCACGTGGCGTGGGAGGCGCCCCGTGCACACGACCGCCGGAGGAGGGGGCCTGGGCCCACCGGGCGCACTGCCGCCTTTGGGCGCCCGATGGCACAGCGCGGTAGAAAACAGGGCGGCTCGCGAGATCCTCGAGCACGGGCGATGGCCCTTCTCGCGCCGCGACCACCACGAGGGTAGAAGAAGAGAAAACACCGTAAACACAAACTTTTGGCGCTCCGCGCGGGCTTCTCGGATCCGCGCTGGACCCCCCTCCCTGGCGCTCGGAGCGCGCCAGGGGCGGCGCCGGAGGCGCCGCCGGGGGGGCCCAGCGCGGATCCGAGAAATCCGCGCGGAGCGCCAAAAGTTTGTGTTTATGGCGTTTTCTCTTCTTCGAGAGGGGCCAGAGCCGCCGAAGCCACGCTTTTTGTCCTTCGTGCCCTGCTGCACCTGGCCCCACTGGGCGGCCCCAGCAGCAGCTGCGGGCCGCCGCGCCGTCCGCCTCGCCGCAAGCCTGCCGAGCCTGCCGGGGCGCCGCGAGCCACGCGAGCCACGCGAGCGCTCGGTGGGCGCGCGGCGCCACGGCAGGAGGCCGTCGAGCTCCGCCTCGGGCGGGCGCGCTGCCGCCGAGGCGCGCCTGGATCGCAGCCCCCCGGAGGTCTGCGCGGGCGCTGCGTCGCCGCTGCTTCCAGGCTCTCGTCCTCTGGGTCGGCGATCGCCTCGGCGGGGCAGGCGCTCCCCATCATCATGGCATTCTCCGTCTGTCTGACGAGCACCCTGTGGGCGGGCGTCAGTCTCAGTAGGGCAGGCGCTTCCCATCATCACAGCGTGCTCCTTCTTGCTGGCGCGCGTCCTGTTGGCTGGCGTCGGTCTCGGCTGAGCAGGGACTTCTTCATCATGACGTGACGTTGTCTTCCAACTGGCGGGCGGCTCGAGGGCCAGCGTCAATGAGAAAGTGTACTACCGCGTTCCTGGTCATGGAAACACATGTGTGACGTACTTGTTTTTTGTCCTGGCGTTCGTCCTGAGGGGCGGCGTTCACTTTAACTGTTGCTCGAGACATCCAGCGCGCAGGCTCCGCCCAGGGGAGGTAGTCTTCTGAATTCCCCCAGGGAAAAAACAACTCTTCCCTCTCCTCCAGCTACGCCCCCCCCCCCAGCCAACAGAAAAACTCAGCCTCCTTCCCCCCTCTCCGCCTTCTACTCCCTCCATCTTTTCTTTCGTCCCTCCCTAATCCCCCTCTCATCGCTCCCAGCCGCCCTCCTACCTCCCTCCCTCCTCCAGGAGGAGGAGGAGGAGGAGGAGGAGGAGGAGGAGGAGGGGGAGGCGGAGGAGGAGGAGCAGGAGGAGGAGGAGGGGGAGGAGGAGGAGCAGGAGGAGGAGGAGGAGGAGGAGGGGGAGGAGGAGGAGGAGGAGGAGGAGGATCCCTCCTCCCTCACTGCCACGCCCCCTCCCCTCCTCCCCCATCCTTCCCTCCCTCCTCGGCGGCGCCAGCCGCTCGGCCCCGCCCGCTCGGCCCGCGCGGCCTGCGGACGTCGACGTCCTTGAACGTGATGACCTGCGCGCGGAATCGGCGCGCCGCTGCGCCGCGCGCGCGCGGGAGAGGGGGGGGGGGACCTGCAGGCCCCGTCGGGTGCTGCTAGAATTACAGTCGGGGCGTTGACCAAAGGAACCCTGCATAAGGAACGAGGCCCCTTCTTCCCATCATATTAACTTCCATTTCCCAGGGGAAACCTAAGGAAAACGCAGGGCAAACTGTAAAACAATCAAGGAACACCGAGCCCCTCCCCAACGATAAGGGTTCCTTCTTCAGCGCCCCGACTGTAGGTCGGGCGTGCCCCCCCCACGGGCGGATTTGGGAGGAAAAGCTAGAAAGACAAAATTCCGACTGACACGCAGAAAATGATCACCAGGGCCGCGCTAGCGGCGTGCTTGGTTAGCGGTGCGGCTAGGAACATGGTTTTTTTTTGCGACACCGAGCTCACGCAGAACAAAATGCAGGACATCACGAAGCACCCTCAGCGAGTTGTAGGAACACGCGAGCCACGCGTTCCTAAAAGTGGCTTTGGCCGCGCGCCACGCCCTCCTACAAGCGGTGTTCCTGCATCACCCTTAGCTGACGCACCGTTAGCGCGCCTAGGGACTCGAAAACATTCACAACATCGTCCCCAGAGGTTTTTGTGGGACTATTTTCGCACATTCCCCCTGGAGAGTCAAGTCGGGCGTGTCCCCCTACAGGGGGATTTTAGGAGAAAAATGAAAAGTACCCCCAAAATTCACCAAACACGCTCAAACATACTCAAAACATCGTCCCCAGACTACTGTCTTACTATTTTGGAATGTTCCCCCTGCAGAGGCACGGGCCCGACCTCATGCTGGAAGTGCCCCCTGGCCCGCGGTGCCCCCCCCCCCCCGGGAGCCCCGAGGAGTCCCCCACGGCCTGCACGGCGCCCCCTCGCGAGGCCCGGGAGGCCCAGGGGCTCCAAGATTAGCGCTGCTCCCACCGCACTTCAGGGTAGGTCGGGCCTGACCCCCTGCAGGGAGGTTGGACGAAGAATAAAACATATTCGAAAAATGCTCAAAAGATGCCCAACAATACTCAAAAAATAGTCCCCGGACTATTTTATCACTATGTTTTAACATTCACCCCGTAGAGGGACAGGCCCGACTTAAACGAAGGACCACATCCCAGAAATAACTTCGAGCACCCAGAAAAGTATCAAAAAAGTATCGAACGAGTATCGCCTCCCAGGGTCCGACACGTGAAGACCCTCCAGCTTCGGCATTCTCTTGGTGCTCGAAACTCTTCCTGGTGAACGAGGAGAAAGTATATTGGAACTTCAGAATCCAAGATGCAGCGACAAGCGGGGGGCACCTTGGGCCAGGGGCACCCTTCTGGCAAACCCCGACCGTGGGGCTTGAGACGGGGTGGCAGGCAGGCCCTGGGGCTCGAGCACTCGCATACGCCTCCTGGCCTCTCAGCCTCATGGCTCCCTGGCCTCAGTCGGCCTTGCGCTTAGCCTCCTTGGGCGGCTGGTTGCTTTGCGGCAGGCGTTGGCGTTCTCACAAGCCGAGGGCTGCTTCGCAGCTGGTGGTCCTCTGGAATCCCCGCCTGGGGTCTCGGCGCGCGTTCTGGACCTCGCCTGGGTGGGCCCCGAAGGAACGATGCGGACCCCCCCAGGCGAGTGGTCTCTTCGCCGGCCAGGTGCGACCCTTCACTGGGTGCTCTGGTTACAAGGCTGACTGGAGGTGTGTGTGTGTGTGCTTCGCGGGCCGCGTCCTTCAATTGAAAGCCTATTGCAGTGTCTGTCTGGCTGGCGGCCACCAAGAACGAATTTGCAGCGTTAGGGGGCTGAGTGTTCGTTCATGTTTGATGTGTTCTGGAACCCGCTGCAGGAACCATTTCTGAAGCTGCACCTGGGTGGTGGCACCGCAGTTCAGAGGATAAAGATGAGGAAGAGAAGGAAGAGGGAGAGGAACAGGAAAAAAACTGGGTAATACTAAAATCGATCGAGCAAGGGCTTGGAGAAGATCCATCGGCGGATGGGGCCTGATCCAAAACGCGAAACTCATATAAATCCTGCCTTCTAAGACGTCATTGTCCGTCTCGGAGCACTCAGCCACACTCTGTCTACATCCAACAGCACCAGTACAAAATCCCTCTAGTGCCATGTGGCTGCAAAGTATCTCGTTGACTCATTGGTGACATCGCAGGTTTGCTGCAAATAAAACCTTTCTTGGTTGATTCCTGAGCGATCATAATTCTCATGGCTTGCATTGACGTGCGTCGGAGCTACGGTCGCGCTGGGGCTCGATGCCACGGTGCTTTTCTTGGGTGTCTGGAAGTCTTGGGGCCGTCATGGGCAGTCGAGGGGCCCTCTAATGCCGTCTGGGATCCTTCCATCGACTCAAGTGCCACAGTCGCATCTGAATAGCATGCCAGCCCTGGAGAATCAAAAGCACACTGTGCCCTGTCTACCACGACTCATGTCCTGTAAATGCTTGAGACCAAATAGGGAGGCTCCCAAGGAGAATCGATAGTGAGGATTTGCGATGGAAAAACATAGAATCCAAGGAGGCCCGTGAAGCCTCAACCAAAAACCAAGCAACCAGTAAAGTGTCCCATCTTGCAAACGGTCAGCCAATGATGGGCCCCATCTAGCCGGTGAAATATCGCATCGGGCCAGTGAAGACAGCCATGTTTGTCCAACGCACGGGCCAGTCCCAGACATGCGACTAACGTTCAACCTCTCACTTTTTTTTCTGTATGTCTCCCTCTCTCTAAAACTATCCTTCTCGTTGCTTCTTCTCTCTCTCACTTTCTCTTTCTCTGTCTCTCACTCTCTCTCTCTCTCTCTCTCTCGCTCCCAACACTCTCTCTCTCTTTTTCCTTCGATCTCTCTCTCTCTCTCTCTTTCCCCCCCTCCCTCCCTACAGTATAGATGTGTGTGACACTCTCGTTTGTGGTTCGCTCTCTCTCTTTCTCTCTCTTTGTCTCTACCTTCTCTCTCTCTCTCACCTTTTCGCTGTCTCCCTCACTCTACATATCTATCTTTATGTATATATATGCCATTCTGTCTATATCTCACTGTAGTCATAGGTATACGTATACATGTGTGCGTATGAGTACAACGCGGTCCATATGCGATGTGCAGATACACGCATATATGTAATATGATATCGAAGTGGTCCTCCCCCGCTCCCTCCCTCCCTCATCTCTCTCGCAACCCGTCGTGTCAACGTATTTCTACAAAGAGTCAAACTGCCACTTACGAGAAGTGAAGCACCTGCCTTCATTGCCGCCCCCTCTCATCTCTCCTTCTCCATGCTCGCAGTCGATCTACAACATCATAGCCAAGCGCCCCGACAACACGCTATGTCCTTGGGATGTCTGTGCTGTTCGAAACCATGCGTGGGAACATCGTGGCGCTGCCACTGTACAAAAGAAAATGTACAATTCGATATGCGACCACCTGACGATAAGCAAAGATCTGCCTACGGCATTTTCCTTTCCTTCCTGTTATGAACCCATCGGCATGCCCCTGACGAAACAGCACCACAGAAAACCGGAGAAGTCGCAGAAACAAGCGTTCTCTTGTCCGCGGGCCCTTCGACAGACAAGATACACATGCATGCGCCATTTCGCGGATGATAGCCCAAATCCACCTAGAGTCATGCCGATCGATCTGCGCACCTCCCGTCTACACCGCAAGGGCTCGGAATGAGTGCTGACCACTGAAAGGATGATCTCCGTCAGCTGGGTAGCCAGCTGCACGCCAAAGATCTTGAACTCCTGAGGGGGATGCAGGTGACAGGTCGCAGGACTCTGGAATGCTGAGCTTTCGAGGAAGGACTTCCGGGATGCTGTGGAGAGGAAGTCGAGGAGTTAGCTCGGCCTCCCGCGCGCCCCGGCGGGGCACAGTGTCCCGACAGGGAACAGAGCGCCAGCCACTGGCTCGACGGCGACGAGGACCAGCGACGGCGGTGACCGCAGAAGTGAAGGGGCCCTGGGACACACAAATAAATACACACAAATAGCAGGAGTCCCCATTGTTCCCCATATGTTCTGGGAGTTTGTCTTCCCCCCCACTTCCCATATTTTCCCACATTTGCCTGGGAGTCGACGATGTATTGTGTCTGTGTGTTTTTCCCCTCCTGAGTGTCGCTGGCGGGGCGAGCAGGAGGACCCGGATGCGGAGGAGGAGAGAGACGAGCCAGTGTCACCAAAGGAGGCTGTGGAGGAGCAGAAGGAGGAACAGGATGAGAAGGACGAGGAGGAGGAAGATACAGTCGGGGCGTTGACCTAAGCAACCCTAGAAAAGGAACGAGGCCCCTTTTACCCATCAGTTAAACTTCGACTTCCCATGGAAAAAACAAGGGAAACGCAGGGCAAGCTATAAAACAATCAAGGAACACCGAGCCCGCCCCCCCAACGACAAGGGTTCCTTCTTCAGCGCCCCGACTGTAGTGGGGACGACAGGGGCACGAGGCGCATGAGGCGGAGGATGACGTCCAGGAGGGGCGCTAAGGTTGAGGCAGAGGGAACGAAAAAGAAGAAGATGAAGAAGGCGTGGCGTGCTTTAACAATGTGCAGCGCACGTCACCGATGATAAACATCGCAGGATGAGCAAATCAGGGTTCGTGTTCCGAGCCACCGAGGATGCCTTGGCCTGCCCGTAGACCTGCAGTCTGGAGGGCTTCCAACGAGGGGGTATCTAGAATGCTGGCCGCCACGGTTGGACCCCAAGCGCCCCAACGGCGCGGTGAATGCTAGCCCCGACGGCAACCAAACCGCCCCGACGTTCCAGAGGGCGCCGCACCAGTTTACCAGGATGGCGGATTCTTAGTCTCCCTCCTGCTCCTCTGCCACCCCTCCCTGCTTCGTCGCCTCCAGCAGTCCGAGGTGGCTGCAAAGAATAGGCCGCTCTCAACCGGAAACTCGTGATGATCATGTGGTCAGGGACGGGCTGGGCGCGGATTTAAACCAGTGCTTCGCTACAAATCCGATCCGCCATGCAGGATATATGACTCCCCAGGCTGGCTTCATCTAAAAGGTCCTTACCGATGCTGTCCAGAAGGACGAACGGCTATTCGGCCCGTTCTAACAAAATTTCCCACACCTGTGGCTCCTCGGTGATGCTTCCCACCAATTCCTCGAAAACCTCCCTTTGAAAAACGATGGATTGCAATTCGCATGAAACGACCCTGCGCACCCTATGCAATGCAACACAGGGTAAACCAGCGCACACGGATGGCACAACGAAAACAACAAATGCTGTGAAAAGAAAAACAAGGCCGATGCAACACAGAGCAACGCAATGTAAAACAATGCGCTGCAACGCAACGCTGGCCAATCGAATGCAAAGGCACTTAAACACGACATAGACAGAACGAGCGAAGTGCCATGCGCCAGAACGCGCGTGGGCATAAGACAGCGCCAGCATAAACACGCGGCTTTGCGGGAGCGGCTGCGAGGCGTCTCTTCATTTAGAACTTGCGTGATTCGAAAAGGAAGGAGGGAGCGGAAGGGGGGGGGCGAGACAGGAGTATGGCACAAAGTACAACAACTTCTGGCGGGCAAGCACCTAGGCGGTCTAGCCCCAAACCTTTCGCGAAATATTGTAGGAACGTTTCCGATGTGGGGGGTCTCGCACTTGCTCCATGTCTTCGTCGGATGGGAAAACACGTGAATGGCTGCTGCGCAGGCGCGTGGCCCATGCATTATCAGGTCTGCCTCTGCTTGAGCAACGCTGTGGCCGAACGGACCGACCCATCTTGAAACGTAAATTGTCTCAACAAGACGTGGCTAGAAACTCTGCCCGTGTTCCGGACCACGTCAACTGATGCCCCAGAAACTGCACTGGTCGATTCGCGATTGAGAAAAGCCGGGGGATGCAACATCTGCCGTAACCATCTGCCTTGCAAGCCGTCGAGTCACTTCCGACGGCTTGCAATAGAAAAACAAATACCTAAATTCAAATGTCATCCGACTGTGAAATATCTCCTCGTTCCGGCGCTTGTTAATAACGGTATGATCCCAAACTCTCTCGTACTTCCCGAACTCGTCCCGTGCGTCGCAAATTCGCAAAGTCATTTCGGTACTCAAGTACCCCGTGTTGTACGACGTAGCGCCAAAATGTGTCAAACTGCATTTTTGTCCCATGGGTTCCCCTGCCCATCCCTACCCGTGCCCCTGCTAGAGAAACGGTGTCCAGTAGTTGTTGTTGGCTGTCTTGATCCCTCCCAATGAGCAGCGTAATTTCAGCGTACAGCAAGGCTGACAAACTCCCCTGTGGTATGGAAGTTTCTGCTTTCTCCCAGTTTGCCCAAGGCATCTCTCACCAATACTGTCACCAGTAGAACAAATAGAAATTGTGATAAAAGGTATCCCTGAATCATTCCAAACATTCGTGTTCGTTCTGACGATGGGTTTGCACCGTCTGCCAGGCAAAACCGCCACGCGCAATATATACCCCAGGTCATAATCATGCGTGGGGGCACTCCAAGCCAACCGGCCAAAACTTCAACGCTTACGGAACCATTATGTTTTCCAACCTGGGGCAACAAAAACAATGCCACAATCCTTCCTGGCGCGTGCCAAATCGATATTACTACGTCGGACTGCATGGACTGCTTCCATGGCGCCCCGCCCTCTGCGGACGCCGCACTGTGGCTGCGAAAGCCGACCGGAAGCCGACCTTCTACACCTGCTTGTCGAAGTCGTTGTAAGATGAGGCTGGCCAACAACTTATAAGACACGCACAAAAGACGAATTGGCCAAATCTCTTCGCATATATGTATCGCTCCTTTGTTTTGTATGTCGTACTTACTTTTGCGCACCGCAACGCAAGCGGCACTTTGTGCGCATCCCAAATTCCATTGCGTGATTATGTTGTCCATTGTAGTCCGCCTGGCGTGTGTGACACGACTGTCCAATAGTTACTCAGCCGGTATGTCGTGCAGTCTGGCCGCTTTCCCTATTTTGAGTTTTCCGACTGCTCCTACCACTGCTTGCGCTGTGAAGGCAGACTCCTCAACCAAAAAAGTCCGCCGTTGCGGAAGCACGGTCGCAGCCACCAGCGAAGCATTGCCTCCTCGCTCCCACAAAGCGTCCACGTCCCCAGCGGCAGTCACGTCAGATAACTCGTCTAAACATGCTTCGGCCTACCCCGGCTGTGCTTCCGGATCTCTGCGCACAGTTTTGTCTGTTGGGGACTTGCGCGGAGGTGTAGTCCAAGGGCCGGCGTAATTGATGTCGGATACTACCTAGTAGTGGTATGTGGCGAAAGCTGCGTGGCGATGTGTCTTGATAGAACGCATCTGAACAACAAAAATAATCATCACATATTTTCCCCCGTGATGTTCCCCATTGGTTCAGCTCCGGCTTCCATGCACGTGATGTTTTTTTTGCCAATGGCCGGTAACACAAAAGTATTTGCACGTCGTACTCCGACGACAAAGCAAAATTCAGGTCCGCGTTCAGAACTTCACTTCGAATTGGTGAAATGCCCACCTACCCCACATGAGCGGCCCGCTTGCTGCTGAATTGAATTCCCACCGCCTGCGCGTCCGATGGGTGCGTTCACGTCCCCCACGATGATCTTCCCAACTGTCGCCGAACACGCCCGGAAGTCAGCGTCAAGAGCTCTCCAGAATGAGCGCCTTTCTGGCAGCAGTTTCGAATCCGAGCACACGATGTCAAAAAGTCGAATTTGAGAAGAGTTCTGTCAGAAATCTGTCTGTCAGAATGAGCGGGCCGAACGGTCATTCACTGCCCTTGGGTGCGTGGCTGAAGTGGGGTTCTGCAGTGGAGATTGTTTTTGCATTATTGTTTGTGGCTGTTTGTTGTTGCTGTCGTCGTCCCATTCGTGACCCAGCTGGCAAACCACCCGCGAACCGTCTGCGACCCACCCGCGACACACCCACGATCCATCCGCGACCCACCCGCGATCCACCCGCGACCCACCCGCGACCCACCTGCGACCCACCTCGTGCCCGACCGCATCACTCTTATACGCTACTGGGGGGCTCCTCATATGATATATGATCTTATGCGCGGTATGTGGCTCGGAGATATGACAAACCCAACCCTTGCCCATGATGGTGCCTATGCATCTGCACCATATTCCTCTTCCTATATTTTTACAAGCCCGGGCGGGGGGAAAACCCATCCCCCCCCCAAAAAAAAACCGGACTCCCGGGATCTGGGGCTTTGGGACCCTCCGGACGGGCCTCGAAGCGGCCCCCCGGGCCTCGCAGGGCGTTTTGCCAAGCCTTCCCAGCACACCTAGGGCGATCAGGGGGGTCATCGGAGACGTCCCAGAGACCCCCAAGACAGCACAAGAGCGCTCCAAGAGTGGCCGACGTGACCTCAAGATGGCCCAAAAGGCCTCCAGGACGGCCCCAAAGAGGCCTCCAAGAGCACTCCCAAGAATGCCCCAAGAGGCACAAATCTTTGATTTTCTTTTGTTTTTTGCTGAATTTTGGGGTTCTCCTCTTTTCGGCTTCCCGACGCTCCAAAACGGCGGTCTTCTGGGCGTCCGAAGCCGCCTGGGAGGCTCCAACATCGCCCCACAACCATCCGAAAGGGCTTCCAGGCAGTCCAAGAGAGCCCCAAAACGGCACAACACGGGTCCAAGATGGCCCTTAGAGAGCCCCATGGCGGCCCAAGATGGCCCCAAGACACCCTCCGAAGCATTCCAAGTCGTGACCCGGTCGTTCAGGGAGACCGCGGTTGGAGGCAGGGTGGCCCGAGGAAGTCCCCAGAGGCCCCCAGAATACGCCCAGGCGGCC